TGGGGAGGAGAGGGGGTGTTACCAGAATCCCACTAATAGCCTGCCAGTAGCTGGCCCCCTTTGAGCTGTGGAGGGGGTGGCCCCTCTCCGTAGCACCCCCCCGGCGCAGGCGGGAGACCGGGCTACATGGGCCCAGAGTTGTGGCCGTTGCTGCCCCTCAGACCTGTGCCGCTGCCCTTGAGTGAGACGGGCTCATCCGGCCCCCCGGCCCCTCCCAATCACTGCGGCACCTCTGCCCGTCTAGCCTGGCGTCCCGGCTGCCTGTTCCCTCCTCATCGGCCCGAGGCAGCTCAGGCCCGGAAGCTGGGCCGGCCCCGGTGGTGGGGGGTTCCCCAGGCTAACGGGGGCTGGCCCGCACCTTGCAGATTGTGGCCTTCCTGCGCAAGAAGGACGATTTCGTGAGCCTGCTGCTACGGCACATCGGCACCTCGGCCATCATGGACCTGCTGCTACGCCTGCTGACCTGCGTGGAGCAGCCCGTGCTGCGCCAGGACGTCTTCAATGTAAGGGCGGGGCTTCCTGCTGGCCACGCCCCTTCGTGTCTGCTGGCCACGCCCCTTCGTGTCTGCTGGCCACGCCCCTGGACACCCACTGCCCCGCCCCTTCGTGTCTGCTGGACCCGCCCCTAGGCACCCACTGCTCCGCCCCTTCGTGCCTGCTGGCCCCGCCCCTTTTTGTCTGCAGGGGCCCCTGCTCCGTCTCACTTGCTGCCCTGTGTCCAGCCCCACATCCTGCCCCACGTCTCATTGGCTACTCCAGGGCTATCTCAGCAGGGCACTCCATTGGTAGAAACTGCCTCGGTGCCATCCGCTCCCCCCCTCCCCACGGCCAGTCCTGCCTACTGCCCCCGGCAGGGAGAAAGTCACAGCTTCCAGCCAGGCTGAGCCGGGGGATACCCAGCCCCATAACTAACTCATGGGTGGGGGGCCCAGGGACATGGGGCCTGTGAGTCGGGAGTGAGGGGCACGGGCAGAGCTGGGGGGGAGGGGGGAGCCCAGGGCTGGGCTAGC